AGAAGGTTTGCTTTGAGGATTGTTGCGTTCATTCATGCCCTCCAATAAAACTCGCTCCTGGCCTGTAGCCTAAAGCTTCGCCGTTTCCTTTTTGATTCTGATGTTGATAGGCTCGTTTACCGGCATTCTTCTTTCAATGCGGGGAGCCGGGCCATGGCCATTTTCATGGTCACACCACCTGCGGGTATCTTGAGGTGACAAACCAAACGAAACCCAGGGGGTATCGGGCGGAAAAATCAGTCTTTTAAACCGGTAGTTAGGCGTGGTGTGAAAATTCACCCTATAGCACAACCCAGCTCCCACTGCGCAATCTTGCTTCTGAATTGGAGAGGAATCCAAAAAGGTCGAATAACGTGTGCTGACGTAGCTCAAAATACTCAATGGCGTGACGCTCTTTTTTGGTACGGATTTAAAACACAATTGGTGTTAAAAAAAAAAAAAGTTGAAATCACGATTTGTAGCCTATATTAAGCATCATTAGTTGAATTACAATTCGTTTTGATAGGCTACGTTTGATGTTTGAAATGCGCTTAAAGAGCAGTGCCAATTTGGTTGTTAAATTTGGACTTAAATTAGGCCCTATATCTTATCATATAAGACAACGTATTTAAATTAGGATTTTTTAAATTTGTTTTAGCATTGTTAAGTTTAGAAACAAAGTAGGCCAAATTTTGGCATAGGCCTATAACTTAGAAAATAATTTTGTTTTCATGTAGCCTAGCAGGGAATCTATAAAATGAGGTTCAAAACTTAAAAAAATAAAAAATAGGATGTTAAAATAATACAATAGGGCCTAATATTAAAATTATTGCATATAGCCTATGTTTGAAAATAGGCTAATTGTTTTTTTTTCTTTCTATTTTTAATTTATTTTTTACATGCACGTGACATTGGCTATGTGTTGGTAGGCTATGCGTTTTAAAGATCCATTATTTCTAAAATCATTTAATAGGCCTAATCAATGTAATATTTCAATACTTAAGAATAAATATTTTATTATTGATGATAAAACTGTATTGAAATAAATAAATAAAAAAACTCATAAAAGTTGGTTCACGTAAAAGTAATTAATAATATGGCCAATAATACACTTTTCTTGCAGTAGCCAACAGTATCAGTGCAGATGCTCTAATTGGATGTTTAGGATCCACATCTCATCATAGCATATGCGAATTGTTTAAACAGGTCAAAGCCCCCCACACCTGCCTGCCTGTCCTCCTGAATCCCTGCGGTGACACTCCACTCCTATTGGTCTGACCCTCGGCGGACCAAAGACAGAATGCGTGTGGCCTCTCATAAATAGCCCTCATTTCTTTGAGTCCTGCAATCCGACCACAACCTTCACCAACCACGAGTCGCGTTCAGCACATTTGGGGTCTCCAACAATGACCCTTACCCAGGATTACGAAGAAGTGCCATGCACCCCCGTCTCGTTTGACGACGATGAAATAAACACCGTTGGAGGAGACCACAGTGATAGCGACCGAGAGTATTTCATCATGCCTTGCAGGGACCCCGATCACTCAGGGTCCGAGTCTTCAGGAGAGAGCGAGAGCAGCTTCTCCACCGCGTCCGCTCCAAAGCAAACCTCCTCCGTCAAGCCTCCGTATTCCTACATCGCCCTCATAACCATGGCCATCCTCCAGAGCCCGATGAAGAAACTCACCCTCAGCGGCATCTGCGACTTTATCAGCAACAAGTTTCCCTACTACAAGGAGAAGTTCCCAGCCTGGCAGAACTCCATCAGACACAACTTATCACTCAACGACTGCTTCATTAAGATCCCGCGAGAACCGGGAAACCCGGGGAAAGGGAACTACTGGTCCCTGGACCCTGCGTCCGAGGACATGTTTGACAACGGCAGCTTTCTGCGCAGAAGAAAAAGATTCAAGAGGAACCAACCCGAGTTCACCAAAGACAACCTGGTGCTCTACCACCAACCAACTTTGAGTTATCGAGCATATGGGCGACCTTACTGCGTTTCTGGGCCGGTGCCAGCCCAGGCTAATCCTATTGGATATTTGCCAGTTCCGGATGGCATCATGGTGCCCCCTCCATATTTCCAGTATCAGACTCTCAATATTAAGGTCCACGAAGCTCCAGAAATCCAGCAAAGGCCCGAGCCCAAGACCCAGAAGTGTTCGTTTAGCATTGACAGCATCATGGCTAAGTCGACGGCGTTTCCTCACAAAAACTCTCCTCATCATCTCACACCTGACTACAGTTATGCTTTTCCCAGGCCAACATCATGTGTGACTCCAAGTTTGGTACCTGTGCCACCAAGTACTCCTCTGCTCAAGACTGTTCCTTTCACAGAAACTCTGCGGATGGTGTATCCCCACTGTTGAACTGTCTGGGGGCAAAGAACTCTTGTCATTTTAAATATGCTTGTAACATAAGATTTTTCTGTCATTGCTCTTATATGATAGTTTTAATGTAAATAAATAAATGGTAATATATTTGCTAGTCCTGGAAAGTGGATGTATTAAAATGCCTGTTTAAATAAAACATAATTGTCATATTTCAATTTTGTGTTCTCATTATTCGTAGTTTTTCGGTTGCAATTATCTTGTCAAAGTTTTCAGAATTAAATGAAATGGCCTTGTAAGCGCGGTTTGCTCAGTGAATTACTTTGCATGACTTTTTTTCAAAGTTTTGAAAGTTGAGTATAGGGTCATTTAGGCCTATCCTATACTGCAATTCTTAAAGAACTTTTTTTTTTTAAGAACTTCATGAATGAATGTGCGTTCAATACTCGTGTTACAGCGTGCACAATAGATTCCCCTCCGTCAAGGCTCTGTCTCCTCTCTTTTTATCATTTTATGTCCACTAGATGGAGACTGAAGCTCGTGAAATCAGTCGCGCTCAATGCATTGATTTCACAAGTATTCCCCAGTTGAGACGGGTGTGCTTGATCGATTATTTCCATTGAAGTTTGGACACATCTGTTACTATTTTTAATGTTTTTGAACGAAGTCTATATTTTCAGAAAACCTGAATTTATTTTTTCAAAAATACAGAAAAAAACAGTAATATTGGGAAATATTTTCACAATTAAAAAAAAAAAATGGTTTTGAATTTTAATATAGCCTACTTTGAAATATAATTTATTACTGTAATGTAAATCTGAATTACTCACATGAGTGTCACATGATGACTCTTCAGAAATCATTCTAATATGCTGATTTGGTCATTTATCAATGTTGGGAACAGTTGCGCTTGGGCCCAAAAATTTTTTGAAACCTGTAATCATTTCTTATAGGATTCATTGATGAATAAAAACTTTTCAAAAACAGCATTTATTCAAAATAGATTTTTTTTCTAATATTATAAATCTTAACTATCACTTTATCAAATTTGCTGAATAAAAATATACATTTCTTTAAAAAAAAATTAAAGAAAAAAAATGGCCTACTGACTCCAAACTTTTGAACGGTATAGTGTATTTTGTTACAAAATATTTATATTTTAAATAAACGCTGTTCTTTTTCAACTGTTTATTTATCAGAAAATTCTGAAAAAATTTCACAGGTTATAAAAAAACTTTCCAACATCATAATAAATCAGCATATTAGAATGACTGGAGTAATGGCTTCTGAAAATTCAGCTTTACATCACTGAAATAAATTATATTTTAAATTATATTAAAATAGAAAACCATTATTTTAAATTGTATGATAATATTTCACAATATTACTGTTTTTTCTGTATTTCTGATCAAATAAATGCAAGCTTGAATAGGCCTTCATGCCTTACTTTGAAATTAATTTTTGGTATGTTTTAACTTACCTCAGGCATCCAAGATGTAGGTGTCTTTGTTTCCAAAGTATTTTCAATTTGGATATTTTTAGGTCAGACCATTTTTGTCTGTCAGTCATATAATGCAGGTCTATGGTCACCACGTCAAAGAGCATGCACAGAGAAGTCCAAATTAAACATGATTTAATGACTCGTAAATGTAAGTACACATTGATGGCCTAAAACACAAAACGAGTGGTTTGTGTGAGAAAACGAACTGTATTTATAACGTTTTTTTTACCTCTTGCACAGTCACAAAGCGCCCATGCCCTCAGATCACTTGGACGTGGCTGTGGTTACAAGAGGTAAAAACAATATAAATACTGTTCGTTTTCTCACACAAACCACTCGTTTCGTGTCTTAGGCCATCAATGTCTACTTATATTTATGAATCATTAAATCATGTTTAATTTGGACTTTTCTGTGCATGCTATTTGAGGTGGTGACCATAGACCAGCATTATATGACTGACAGACAAAAATAGTTTGACCTAAAACTATCAAAATTGAAAATACTTTGGAAACAAAGACACCTACATCTTGGATGCCCTTGAGGTAAGCTAAAACATACCAAAAATTAATTTCAAAGTGAACAATCCCTTTAACTATTATGAAATAAAATATGATACTGCAAAGCAAAAGGTTCACAAAATATGAAACCATTGTGTTGGCCAAAAACACAAAAAATGTAATTAAATATGAAACACAACATGCCCCAGCCTGACTTTCATGAAAATGTATCCCCAGAACACATTTTCACAAACCTTTAAAATGTCTAAAGTTCACTGTTCTTCGAATGTATTTCACTGTACGAAATACGATACAGAAGTTTAGTCTGAAGTGGGCCTACAGATTTCACAAAAATTATTGTTATTTAAGAGGTTTATTTTATTTTATTAGACGTTTGAAACTAATTGCTATAGAAAACATATTTTTGACTCAAACGTTTAGGCCTACCGAGAAACAGCCCTTGTGCCAACTAGCCCCGCTCCCTTATCTCTATTTTGGCATTAGAAACTATGGTCAGTTTATTTCTCTCTCATTCCTTTCAGTCTTCGAGTTTAATGATATTACATTTTATGAATGTTATGACATTCTGCATTTGATCCAGTGCGTCAGGTGAGAACTGCTGTCCATCTTGAGCGCTTCCTGTGGATCCATTGCGCCACGGACAGTAGAAGCGTCCGGTTACACAGCAGCACACTGTCACTATTTGCTCCCCCACACATCATGGGCTATTTTGGGCCAGTGCGTTAGCTCATTATATAGAGTTTTCTTCTAGTACCCTCCCTGCCTTTTGGCAAGCAAACGTGCGCGTGACAGTTCGGGAGAAGAGTGTCGGTGAGCGTAAGACCTTATCTTGGAGTCTTTCTTTGCCCTTTCACCCATTTATTGTGTATTTTGTGCCACTCTACCACGGTTTGTCCCGTTGCGATGAGAAGACAGCTGCTGTACACTAGTTTTCCAAAGAAGCGTCACGGGACGCGTCTCAAATAATCCACTCCGACTGAAGCGCACTGAAGCCTCCGTGAACCTCTTCTGTTGCTTCTCTTTGACGATATTTAGAACATTGTTTAACACCTCATTACATTTTTACGGGCCCAAAGCTTTGCAAAAGATCATGGAGACTAACCCTATACCCATTTTGACTATCCAAACGAGCCCATTCGACGACCAGAGACCAGGGACGAATGGACTGCGAAAGAAGACAGCTGTTTTCGAAAGTAAAAAGAACTATCTTCAAAATTACATCCAAAGTGTGCTGTCCTCCATCGACTTGAGGGACCGTCAGGGATGCACTATGGTGGTGGGCAGCGATGGAAGATACTTCAGCCGGGCTGCAACTGAAGTCATCGTTCAAATGGCAGCTGCCAACGGGGTAAGTGATGGTGTTTATACTTCAAAGTCGAATAAAAATCTCATGCATGCTTTTTCACTATTTTAACGTTTTGCAATTATATTTATTTTTTGTCTTTGATAGATTTCTAGTCTAAAAATGCATCAGTTATTTATTATTTTTTCGTTATTAAACGTGATAAATTTTAATTAAAAGTGCATTTATTCATTTTTTAAATATAATTAGATTAGTCTATATAATAAAATTGCATTGTTTATTTTTTATGTTTTCTGATCTATATCATCAAAAGGTAACATCAGTTAATTAAAGCATATTAATTAATTATTTGTTTATTTACTTATAAATGTCAGATGTTCTGCAATGCATTGTTTTATTTATTTATTATTTATTAGGTTGTCTGACTTGTATCGACTTATCCTCAAAAAGTAACATCAGTTAGATTAATTAAAGCCAATTAATTAATTGATTGATAAACATTTTCTAGTCTATATAATAAAATGCATTTTTTGTTTGTTTCCTAATAAACATTATAGATTGGATTAATGAAAGGCCATTTATTTATTTATAGATTCTCTGATTTATATAGCCTAATCAAAATTAATGGTATAATTATTATTATCCTCGTTGTTATATTTGATTATTATCATTTCAAGTGTTTTTGAAAAATGTTAAAATCATGATTTGTTGTATGTCTGCTTTTATGATGACTTTTGGTATCCCAAACTGAGATGCACGTTTTGTTGGAAAACCCTGAAAAGCAACTAAATGAATATGAAAGAAAGCTCAGAAGGAGTTAAATCTCTTTCCTGGCCTGGCCAAATGTATCCTGTCTTATCTGTTATGCCATCCCTCATCTGCACACTCTTCCTGGAGAGCTGCTGTTTCCCTTGTTTTGACCTCATGTTCATGTCAACTACAGGGAAACCCAGAACATGCCCACAAGCCAAGATGCTTCATCAACTTTGGCCATCAACCTTTATGGCATATTCTATTGTATCTCTAATGAAGATGTAAAGTTTATTTCAGTCGGAGCATAAAGCCTAAATTCACTGTTTTGATGCTCTAAATACTGTTATTCCATATCCACATAATTCCTCCCTCCTTTAGTCTCTTTCTTTGTATCAGTGACATTCTTCCATACAAACTTGGTAGCTCTCAGAGACATGATATACAGACACTGTGTATCCAAAAGCAGCACCTTATATGGATAAGCTGTTCAAAGTGTGCTGGGAATACAGTTCACACTCACTGAGCTTCAAATAAGAGATGCATGTAAAAGCAAGGGGATAAGCAAAGCATCAGTCAGGTATTTAATTAGCATATTACACAAAAAAGACGGGTCAGTGCACTCGGTCATCATTATAAATGCTTGAGTGAGAGATGCCAAATACCTCACTATTAATAGAAAGTGGCTGATCTTGTAAAGCTTAATGAGTCACAAAGTTGCTGAGATGTCTGGGCTGCTGTCTTGTGAGCTAGAAAGACTGAAACAAGCAGTATACAGCGATTGACAAGTGACAAGTGAGGTTGCAATTTATGGAAGCTAGGATTGTATGCAGGTCTGCTTTAAATGCTTAGGTATTGTTAGCCTGTATTTCGAGTAAAGAACCCTGTACACGTCTGTTTAGTTGTGTCACTGAGTCAGCTTGTCAATCCCACAGGAATGAGCTACCAGACAGATGTAGTTGTTGATCTGGTATGCAGTAGTAGCCGTGACTGGCGCCTCGGGTGCAGGTTTAAAGCCCATCACATAATGTTATGATGACCCCTGGTGAAGGTCTGGAGGCAAAGAGGCTATTCAGGATCTAAAGCGCTCATTTACATTTGTCATTTCAAAAATGAATGACGTTCGTTCTTTTGTGAAACACAGTTGTGTTATTTTTTTTAAAAAGTTTAAACTGTTTTTGTCATTGGAGTCCAAAACAACATTGGACTTTCAATGTTTGAAAAAAAGTTTTACATTTAATCATATTCATATCATCTTTCCTCAATGTTTTTATAATCTAAAGGCGGGAAATGCAAAAAAAATGTACTTTTAAATGTACAACAGCTTGATAAAAGCTATATATTACTACTCCAAGATACTAATATGCACATTTTAGGGCCAGTATCTAAAGTATAAATACTCACTTTAACATTTTTACACTTGAATCTCTTTCTTCTGTTAACCCAAAAGAAAAGAAAAAAGAAAAAAAAAACATATCGGGGTTTTTTTTTTCTTATAGTGAGAGTCCAAAACAACCATTGACTTTCAATGCATGAAAAAAAAAAACTTTTATAAATCTCAGACACCACTAAACCAAAATTTAAATTTCAGATAGGACGTCTAGTCATTGGACACAACGGGATCCTGTCCACCCCAGCAGTCTCCTGCATCATCAGGAAGATAAAAGCCAGTGGTGGGATCATTCTCACTGCAAGCCACAGTCCAGGAGGCCCAGGAGGAGACTTTGGGATCAAATTCAGTGTCGCTAATGGAGGTGAGAACATTACAAAGCATATTGAAACACCCTGCATAAGAGCACCTTCAGAATGATAATGATACTTTCAATATGTAATATTATAATATCAGCCTCTAAGGGAATCGCTGTGCCAATAATGTCATGACATCAGCTTAACGTTACCTTTTTCTAAGCTTTTTTTCTGGTGTGCACCATTAGCCTCACGCAGTGCAACACATCCCCTTAGCATAGAGTTGATCAGGTTGTTGATTACGGCGGCCTGTGGAATGTTGGCCCACTCCTCTTCAATGGCTGTGCGAAGTTTCTGCAGGACCTGGAAACACGCTGTAGCATATGCCGATCCAGAACATCCCAAACATGCTCAATTGGTGACATGTCCGTTGAGTATGCTGGCCATGCAAGAACTGGGATGTTTTCAGCTTCTGCCACACGCTGCCATATCCTTAAACTCCAGACCCGCCAAGCAGAGCTTACTGTAAGATCTAGCGAGTCCTTCCAATAGTGACGCATGTGTTTTGCGCTCACAGGGAGTACAGGCATGAGCTGCTTCCTAGGACCAGAAGGGGGACCTAGGAGTTTACTGTCATACACACCCCTTTGAATGTTACTGTATGTTAGCAGCATCATATTCAAGAAGATGTGTCAGTCTCCATCTCTCTGTGAAACTTGCATTATGATGCATATTTTCATTTTGGTGGATTACGTATTATAAGGAATATTCATGTGACGGCTTAAAGTAAACAATGTCATTTTTGCAGTTTCTTCAGAGCATTTATTTTGCACCCTAGAGAGATAGATAGATAGATAGATAGATAGATAGATAGATAGATAGATAGATAGATAGATAGATAGATAGATAGATAGATAGATAGATAGATAGATAGATAGATAGATAGATAGATAGATAGATAGATAGATAGATAGATAGATAGATAGATAGATGTTTTGTTGAATTCTGCCACTGTTTCTTCTTCCCAGGGCCATCTCCAGACACAGTGATGGAGAGGATCCATCAGGTCAGCCGCACACTAGAGGAATACGCCATCTGCCCTGACCTCCACATCGACCTGTCCCGCCTTGGCCGTCAAGACTTTGACTTAGAGAACAAGTTCAAGCCCTTCAGAGGTGAGTGGTATAAACTTATACTCGAGTGTTTTCATGTACTTTTATCACAAACTTCCAGTTTACACACATGTACTGAACATAAACATGTTCTTTCTTTGTTTTCCAGTTGAGATTGTGGATTCAGTCGAGATCTATCTAAACATGCTGCGGGGAATTTTTGACTTTGGTGCCATCAAGAGCTTGCTGACAGGTCAAAACCAGCTGAAGATACGAATAGATGCAATGAATGGAGGTAAACTCTTGTGGACAGTTGCAAATACCAATATGCAGATCTGTATGCACTGTGGAGTCAATCTTCATGTCGTCTGTTTCAGTTATGGGACCATATGTCAGAAAAATCCTATGTGATGAGCTCGGGGCTCCAGCTAATTCTGCTGTTAACTGCGTCCCTCTGGAAGACTTTGGAGGCCAACACCCAAACCCTAACCCTGCTTTCGCTGCGTCTCTGGTGGACTCTATGAAGGGGGGAGAGTTTGGCTTTGGGGCTGCTTTTGATGCAGATGGGGTGCTTATCTCTTATCATCTGACAATTATTCACAAATCACTTGCAAATTACACAAACAGAAAAAATATGTAAAAACGTCATAAGAATAATAATCAAGAAAAGATCAAAAGAATCAAGGCTGTTGAACAATATTATTGCTGGACTATTTCCTGCATCTTTCTCAGGGTCTTGTTTTGATTGCAGTTCTTTACTAATATCTTTCTGTTTTTTATTATATTTAAAGGGATACGCCACCGTTTTTTTTTTTAATATTAAACCCTTAACTAAGACGAGTTGATACGAACCTCTCTCTACCATTGCGCATGAGACACTTTGACAGCACTTAACTAGTCCAGTTCATTCAATATGGGCCAAGGAGGGAAGCAGAGAAGTTTTCTCTATTTAAATACAGTTACACGAGTAGAGTAACTCCACCAAGAATGGTGACACAAAATTAAACGTTGCGCTTTTCTAAGCGTGTAAAGTGGATAACTATAATGAATGGCGGAATACAGCAAGTGCTTGGGAGCACTTCGACTCGGTGCAGTAAAATAGTAATATCATCACTGAAAAATCCCTCTCTGGAGTGATATTACTGTGCCAAGTCCATAGAAATGCGCAAGTCGAAGTGCTCCCACGAAGTTATCCACTTTACACACTTAGAAAAGCGCAACGTTTTATTTTGTGTCACCATTCTTGGTCGAGTTACACTACTAACTGTTGGGCTAACTGTTGTATAATGTTGTCTTATGTACAGGATCGTTACATGATTATGGGTCAAGATGGGTTCTTTGTGAGCCCGTCAGATTCACTGGCAGTGATGGCAGCAAACCTCTCCTGCATCCCTTACTTCAGTCAGAGAGGAATCAGAGGTTTTGCCCGCAGTATGCCAACAAGCACAGCCATCGACAGGTAAGAAAACCTTGTTAATTGTGAAAAATAAACCAGTTTTTCTCAAAAAGCACATTCACAGAAATGTAGATGTTAAATGTTGCTGATAGGAGTCGGACTCCTGTAACATGCTCTCATATGATACTCCTGAAATGCCATTATGCTGCAGACTATTGAAATTAAAACAAGTCAGCACCAAAAGTTGCTCAAACCACTCTGTCTGATAGGAATGTACTACTAAACCTTAAAAAATTCATCAATACTATAATGCAGAATCTTGAATATTAATTATGTACTTAAATTTGAATTATAAACCGATTTGCTTGCACTTGTATTCAGTGAAACTGGTTGGTTCTACTTAGTTTTAAAGTAATTTTCACACGTCTTGCGTCCATTTCTTTTCTAGACTTTCACGTTTGTCAAATTGAGAGACAGTGACATTATCCCTTAATATACTGCAGGAGTTCAGAGCTGTTTAAAGAAAAGCCAGTCAACTCTCAAAATAATTGATAAGCTGATGATCAGGGAGGAAATCATCCATCAGGATCTTTCCACTATCTCAGTTACTCTTCTTGTGCAAGACACTAAATGGTAAAAGCATTAGTGATGGGGCCAGAGGTTACAGTGTGGAGACTCACTCCCTAAGAATAACATTGTTAGCTCAACCCTGCGCTCCTGCAGACTAAAAATAATCATGCTAAAGACCTATCTGCTTCGAGACAGGATCTTGTGCTATGAGAAATGAATAGCAATTTCATGCATTTAAATGATATTATTTAAATGTAAAGGCTTTTAATAAAATTGTTCCATCCTATTCCTACATTTGTAGCTTATTTTGTGGCTCTGCACTCTCAGAAAAAAAGGTACAAAAGCTGTCACTGGGGCTGTAACTTTTTAAAAAGTAAACTTTTGTCCATTTTAGATGCTAATAAGTACATTGCAGGTGCTAATATGTACATTTTAGGCCCTAATATGTACATTTTAGGTACTAATATGTACATTTACATTTTAGGTGGTAATATGTACATTTTAGGTATTAATGTGTACATTTTAAGTGTTAATATGTACATTTTTGGTGCTAATATGTACATTTTAGGTGCTATGTCCATTTCATGAGCTAATATGTACATTTCCGGTGGTAATATGTCCATTTTAGTTGCTAATATGTCCATTTTATGTGCTAATATGTCAATTTTATGAGCTAATATGTTCATTTATGTACATATGAAATGTACATATCAGGTGCTAATATGTACATTTCAGGTCCTAATATGTACATTTTAGGTGCTAATATGTATATTTTAGGTCCTAATATGTACATTTCAGGCGCTAATATGTACATTTTAGGTGCTAATATGTACCACAAAGGTACCAATATGCAGCCTTTGGGTACAAAAGTGTACCTTTTGAAAAGGTACAGTCCCAGTGACAGCTTTTGTACCTTTTTTTCTGAGAGTGTGTGGTGCAAAAAATTTCCCAATCTGATACAGCAACAGCTCCATCAATTGTGTCAGTTGGGGGCGGAGTTATCTGTTTTGCTGACCAATGGGGATCAGGGAGTGTTCAGAAAACCTGCCTGAATACAATTCTTATTTTTTTCTGTTCTTTTTGACATTTAACAAACACACTTCAGCTTTCAAATGTGTTTTAAAAATAACAAAAAACTGAAAAACTGACAAACCTAAACCGTATTTACTGGTCGACTTCTCTTCTATGAGATAAGTTTGCAACTTTCTGCAAAAACGTGAATCTGATTGAAATGAAATGGGCCTTATTAAATGTATGGTTCGCTCAAAAATTACAATTCTGTCATCATTTATACTCACCCTCATGTCGTTCCAGACTTTCTTTCTTCTTTGAAACTTAAATATATATTTTAAGAAATGTGTCAGCGTTTTTTATTTTGTCCATACGATGGAATTCAATGGTATTAATGGTTTATTATCCACATTCTTCTAAATATATTCTACTGTGTTTTACAAAAGTAAGAAAGACATGGAGGTTTGGAATGACATAAGGATATTTTCATTTCTGGGTGAACTATCCATGTAATGCTGGCAGTCAAATAGGAAGTGAGGTTATTTAGTGCTACCCAATCAGTCATTAAAAACAGCCAGAAATTGCTTATTGTGTCATAACACCAGAATTAAGTGTGATTTCCTCCCATCATTATTGTTTTTGTTCTGTGACTCATTATTCACTTCCTGGAGGCTTTGCAAGGTTGATTCAGTGTTAGTAACACACTGTAAATGAGACTTTAACTACTGGTGTGGCTAAGATAAAGAAAGAGAAGTTGAGTCTACATTTGGCCTGCAGATTAGCTTATAAATTATAGCCATATAGCTAAGCAGAGTGTCATATTTTCCATTCTGTAAATGATAGTTAAGTAAGAATGGGTGCTCCCAGCCTAGAGACAGTTCTATTCTCTCTTACATTGAAGTCACCCTCCAAATTTGAGCTGTTGCCTTCCAGGCTAAAGGTGTGGTCACTTCATGTTACATTCACTTCCATTTGATCACATGTGATGTGAGCATGGCATATATATGTAATCGTTTTTTTGCTGCATACTAAAGTTCAAGTTTGATGCACCCGGTCCCAGATAAGTGGTGGATAATTGATGGATGGATGGATGATCTGTAAATTTGTTTGGCAAAAACATTCTGACCAATAATGGAGTAGTCTCTGAGTTTTTGGCTCAATAAAAAGAATTTATGGATGTAGCATCACAGAAAAAAAAAATGTTTTCAGTTGCGATGCATTTGTAGAAATGTGACATGTACACTCTCAGAAAAAAGGTATAAAAGCTGTCACTGGGGCTGTACCTTTTCAAAAGGTAAACTGTTGTCCATTTTAGGTGCTAATATGTACATTTTGGCGCTATATGTACATTTTAGGTGCTAATATGTAAATTTTTGGTGATAATATGTACATTTTAGGTGTTAATATGTGCATTTGGGTGTTAATATGTACATTTTAGGTGCTAATAAGTACATTATAGGTGTTAATATGTACATTTTAGGTGCTAATATGTGTATTTTAGGTGCTAATATGTACATTTTTAGTGTTAATATGTACATTTCAAGAGCTAATATGTACATTTTAGGTGTTAATATGTACATTTTAGGTGCTAATATGTACCACTAAGGTACCAATATGCAGCCTTTGGGTACACTTTTGAAAAGGTACAGCCCCAGTGACAGCTTTTGTACCTTTTTTCTGAGAGTGTACTTGATAAAAATCATTGAAAAATTACAAACCAACCAGTAATATTTTGCCATGTATGCCATCACTTTATGATTATAAATAATGAATATATAAATTATACATTTAGAAATTAGAAATTGAATTGAAAACATATATTTGTATTATATTTGATTATAAGTAATACATTTTAATTATTGTATTTTTATGTTGGAGCCAGTAAAAATGTTGAAAGGACAACTAGAAATGGCAAAAATATGCAATGTTCAGTTGAGCCCTGTTTTATTAGGCAACTGATTTGACTGTTCATCTCATCATCATTGACAACTGTCAATAAGATAAACATACTTTTTAGATGTTCACACCATTCATTTTAATTCACAACAGAGTCAGGTCAGAAAATGAACTGACCTTATTTAGCTGTTGAAACCAACAATAATCAAGACATTTTTATTTTGTGAGTCCTTAAAAGTTAGGTTTTGTAGTGCTGGATCTGGTGATCTGGAGAGTAACTGAATCTGTATCATTCTGTCCAACTAATCTGAACTTGAAGGCATGCATGTCCCCCTGGGGTGCGAGTTGTTGGAGCAAAGCATCTTTGCTGCTGTAAACCTTTTTAGGCGACAAGTGAGCTCTAGGCTGTGGCTGTGTTTATACTATGGACCTCACAGGAGTGTGTGTTTGTTAAGTTGCAGTGGAGATAATCTACTGGAGCATGTGTGCGCTGTAGGTCTGGTGTGTGATTGCAGCTCTTTATATGTGCACATATGACTGTGTTTAAGGATGGAAGGATGGAAAGGAAACATCTGCCGTGTTCCCTACACGTGGGAAGGGGAAGAGAGAATGTGTGCTATCAATGTGACCATACACTGAGGATGAACTGCTGAAATATGGGGAAATTACACATGAGAAAATACAGTCGAATTGCAACTGCAGTCCAGTGTGTTTGCTGTAACCACATTTTAAACCCATTTAATGATATAAATACATCTGTATATAACATTCTGGGACTTTTCACTCCGCTTCCCAAGCTGTCAGTCTGTGCATTAGTGGTGGGGATTTGAAGTGAATCTTTCTGCAGGCGATCGTTAAATTAGTAGGTGGTGAAAATGGACTGTTTTTAAGAGTGAGTCATTGAGTAATTCACTGAATTTGTTCAACAGCTTTGATGCATTCACACTCTAAAAAATGCTGGGTTGTTTGAACGCAAATTTGGGTCAAATATGGAACAACCCAAATGTTGGGTTAAAAAGGTAATTAAAAAATTTACCTTTGAAAGTGAAAGTTGAAGTTGGGTTAACATTTTAAATTATATTTTTAACCCAACATTTGGGTTTGTCCATATTTGACCCAAATGTGGGTTAAAACAACCCGGCATTATTTAGAGTGCAGGAACAAAATAATCAATTCTCTTTATGAATGAATATTTGAATAATTCACTGAACCGATTCATTCAACAACACTGATTTATTCCGGAATGAAATGAGCGACTGTCTTTATAAGTCATTGAATTATTCACTTAACTGATTTGTTCAATAGCACTGATTCATTTAGGAACAAAACACTAGTCGCGGTAGTAAGGTGACTTGTGAAATGTTTTTGGGGGGGGGGGGGGGTGCATAGCGTCATAGACAAATTGTTTCCAGAGGGGCGTCACCTACGGACGTTGCGGGTAGACCTAAAACCAATCAGAGCGATGAAGGAGATGACGTACGCAGAGCGGCGGCCGGCGGAGAAACATCTACGAGTGTTGTTTGCTTGCTTTTCAACAAAAAGTAAACGTTCAAATCGCTTAAAACAGAGGCGATAGCTGATTCCAACAAATGATGTTCGACAGCGGCGTCCATCTTTGTAATGTAGGCTACAAAATCTGCTTCAAAATCCCAGCGCTGTCGTCATCGTGTAAAGCCCGCCCCAACGTTTCTGATTGGTGCCGCGATTTCTATTATTTTAATATACTTTGGAGTAAGGAATGGAAATCATTTTAGTGCAACTATTTACCAGTTTAAAAGGGTAACTAAACCCCTGGTCAGAGCCTGACTCCACCCACTGGCAATACTTGAAAAATGCTGAAAAATTGGGCAGACCCCAGCGGAGATAGAGGGGGCGAAATAAATGCTAAAACACTCTATCCTGATCGTTTTCAATACTCGCAGCAATTCCAACTCCTGACTCGCTACAGTGGTTTTGACGAAACAAGCTGGTTTTATACTGCCAAGGGCGTAGCTTGTACCAAGAGCGTGGTGAGCTGAAATGTGCGTACGTCACAATTCACAAAGAACCGCTAACATCCAATAGGAAAATTCAACTGCAGTAGCCACCTGAAGAGGGCAGCACTAAGACTTTTTTACAGCATATATTGTAGAAATAAATCACTGTATACACAAACGTCAAAAAAGTTGCTCAAATCAATGACCGGCATTAATAAATATCCATTCTTACAGATCATTAATTAAAAAAAGTTGGTTTAGGGTTTGGTTGCTCTTTAATTAGACTGCCAGTCTACTCATGCTAACATTATGCTAGTTGATAATTTAGTTTTATTGCCAGATTGAGGTTATGAACAGCTGCTGATTTAAAAACTCAGCTGAGCATGTTATTTTCCCTTTTTTCATTCTTTTATAGACAGAATTGGTAAAAATCCAGTCACACCCTCATGAACACATACATGCAAAATATTTCCGATGCAAAGTTAGAGATAGCGCTGCTTGTGTTGGCCACAAATAGGAGAGTAAATCATGGAAAACAAGTCAACAGGTCAAAGATTCCAGTTTGCTGTCCATGTGCCAGGCTTTCCATTCTACTCCATATCCCTTGAGTCAATAATATTTGTTTTCCCATATTTAGTAATTCCACCCATGAGTAAACAGCTGCATCCTAGCCCTCCTCATTTACATCAGTTCCCTGTCATCTGTCCCTTCATCTGATGGGATCTCAGCAACTCATTACCCATAATGCCAGATTGCAGTGTCTGAAAATAGTTATGACTCTAGCCATTATCCAAGATCAACAAACAGAGAAGGAGACTTGTAATTGCGTTCCACCTCGTGTTTTCTCCATCTATTTCATTTTCATAGTTTTTTTCATAGATTACAGTTCCCAAATAGAAAACTTGTTGTCTTAACAATAATGTAGTATGACAATATTTGTTCAAATGTAGGCCTATATTTTCAGTTTCTGTGACAGCTCGCAGGAGTTTAACGGTATAAGCAAGTTAAACAGGTGTAGACTACACACCAATGATTAAAGTGCTGTTTGCTCCTCCAGGCACATGGCTGAAGCTCAAAATAAATGTCAGCCAAAATGTCAGCATGGTTTCGTTCTGCTTTTGCCTTATAAAGACACTGAATTTAGGAGACGAAATATGCAGTTTGATTAATGAATCACTCCAAAGGACAGATACTAAATGTACTACCAGTGAATTTGTGGTGGTGTGGACGCTAATATATATATCGTTATACTTATCTTTATAGTTCCCGCTCTTGGTGTGTACGGGCCTTTACATTGCAGTATAGTAATTGCAACATTTTTAAGATTATACTTTGATAAAAGAAATTAGCCAGTGAGATTCAGTCCTTCTTTCAGATTTGATCTTGTCCAAATAATTTCTGAGTAGGATTCCACTGGACTACTTATGCTTCCTGTTTGTTTGCAGGGTTGCTAAGGCTATGAAGGTGGCGCTGTATGAAACTCCCACAGGCTGGAGATTCTTTGGAAACCTAATGGATTCTGGGAGGTGTTCGTTCTGTGGAGAGGAGAGCTTTGGAACAGGTGGGTGCCATCACAGGAGTCTGTGCACTTCACAGCTTTTAGAGTTGAAAACTCATCATGAATGTTTCGTCATTATTTAACCTACTTCTTACACTCTAAACAATGCTGGGTTGTTTTAATCGAGAATTGGGTAAAATATTATGGACAAACCCAAATGTTGGGTTAAAAGTGTCATTTAAAATTGTGACCCAACTTCAACTTTCACTTTCAACTCTACATTTTTTAATTACATTTTTTAACCCAAATTTGGGTTTGTCCATATTTGACCCTGTGAAACACAAAAGAAAGCATGTTTAAAAAATAATTTATGTTATTGACATTTTTGGAGGTAGCTTTTTGCTTTCTGACATTTTGACCACATCCAAAATGTAGATCTTTATCAGTGTTCTGCTATAAAAGGAAGACAGGCTGGTGAATCATCTGAAACAGTGAGAAAGTGAGAGTAGTCTCTGCTGGCAAAAGCAAACAACTCCTCCTCTGTTTTTCTCACAAAAGCACACAGGGTGGGGGGAACAGAAGAAGGAGGTAAAGGAGTGGAAGAAAAAGGGTTTTACCGGATTGTAGTTTTAGTTCTCTAGTCCTCTCATGTCATATTACACGGCACACAGCGCTTGAACAAGCAGACGTGTTGCTGCTTTATAAAGGTGTTACTTCAATGACAGGCACTTTTTTCATGTCACGTGGGTTGGATTTTTATTAAAAGTAACAAAAAATAAATACATAAATAACAGCTAACTAATAGCAACTAACTTTTTACCCGTTTTTCTTGTGTAAATGTGACATTGAAACTGCATTTGGAAATGTTTTAACATACATTTATATTTGCTTATTTTTTTATTATCCAGATCTTTTTACAATGCATCTACATGGAGTTTAAATGACTTATCTATAGATTGTATTTTTCTTAATTTTTCTTATTTTTATTTTTCTTGTATTTGTCTTAAAACATGAAAATTTGCCATAGTTTTTATTTTTTTATTTTAACACAACGATAATTCAACCATTTTTGCATCTTTTCTTGATTTTGTTTATAGATTGTACTTTTTTCAGAATCATATTTTCAGTATATTTAAATGTGAAAATTTGTCATTAATATATTATTGGTGTTATATTATATTAATATATTATATATATATATATATATATATATATATATATTTATTTATTTTTGCCCATATGAAACAAAGTTCCAAAATGATAATTTCCACCCCAGAATGTAATCAAATACTTTTTTGTGGAAATTACATTTGTTGGTTCAGAAAATAGCAAACATTTCAGTGACAGACAGTATTTACTGTATATGCACAATTAAGCGATAGTTCACCCATTTACTCACCCTCAGATACTTTTAAACCACGTTTTATGTCTCACAGTTTTTAAAAAAACAAAAAAAATTTGTTATTATTTAGTTACCTTTTTAATTCCACTTGGCAAAACTGCCTATAGTTGTAGCAATTCTGTGAATATGTGAAGGTGAGGCCTGTCTGCTATTGAATGGTTGTGTTTTGGTTGGCAGCTGAATGTGGAATAAGCAACTGGCGACATGAATGATGTTGCTGGGCAGACAGACGCTTGGCCCTGGGGGTGGCTGGGTCAATCTTTAAAGCCTCTGGGGTTTTACACCGTCACGAAGACCTTGAGTGAGACACGAGGCATTGTCTGTAGGTGTCAAAAGAGCAGCCTGCTCATTATTCACCATGTTCTGACTTTGCGGCGGGATTGTAGTGCTGTCATGGGTCACTTGTCAGTTGAATTCTCACTAATCACTCTCTACTATGCTAGACATGCATCATTATATGGTGAGGCAGATATCTGGTACAAATTGAGAGTGTTTATGGAATATTGGCATTAAGCTAGTTTCCCTTCTGGCTGTGAACCAGGTCGTTTCTGCGTCAGGGAAAGTTAACAGATAATAGTCGGACAAGCTGATAGATGTTGAAATCTGCTTTTCGAAATGAACTTTATTGTGTTTTATTGATTTGAAGGGTCAAAACTAATTATACAAAAATGTTACATTAGCTTACAAACGTCTTTGGCTGTTGATGTGATATGCGGTAGGCCTGAGCATTTTTTAGTACTTCAGCATTAGTCACGCACAGAGAACAGCTGTCGGATACAATTCTTCTGACACATGATTACATGAAATAAACCAGATCAAAGAAAAGATAGACAAAAGAAAAGCCAAGCAGATGAAGAGTTGACCATTATAATGGAATCACCGCCTATGTCCTTAAATAAGTGACTATTTGAGTGGACAGGAATTCTGTTTTCCTTATCATATAATACATTCACCTACTGTATGTGGACATTGCTGATTGTGAAAGATAGACGAATAGTTAGTGAAATACCTAATGCTAGATAACACCACAAATGTAACGTGATCATGGTATGGAGCATTAGTTCAACGTCAGCTGATAAAAGTAGCCTATTATTGTATTGTTGCAGTGGGAGTTTACATGAGTTTCCAGCATGTTGTGTGATGCTTTCTCCGGTGTGTTGAAAGTCTCAGTGTGGCCGTGTTCGAGCATGCACAAGAGTACGAGCGCTCTTGTAAAAATTGGTTGCAATCTGAAACATCACCAATATAGGGCGCTAAAAAATACATATAGCACCTTTAAGTAATTGCAGCCTTGGTGAGCATAAGAGACTTTTTAAAAAATCTTACAGACCCAAAACTTTTGAACGGTAGTGTAGATGAAAATATGTATCTCTTTATCTGTCTTTTTCAGGTTCAGACCACATCCGAGATAAAGACGGCCTGTGGTCAGTTCTGGTATGGTTGTCCATAATGGCAGTGCGTAACCAGGGGGTGGAGGAAATAGTGAGAGATCACTGGGCCAAAATGGGACGCAATTACTTCTGCAGGTGAGCTGAACCCAAATAAGCATCTTCCCAAGCGACAGTTCTTTCCCAAGCTTCATTTCTAACATCAATCTCCAAGTCTCTCGGGACATTTCAGGATATTTCTTTGTGTTTACACACAGAACCCACCGGCTCAATGGCTTTTCCTTTGAGACTGAGTAGGCAGTATCTCTTTATTGTGTTCCTGGATTGTTTTTCCCTTTCCCATACATGTTTCCCACATTCACCATATTTAGCTACTTGTAGATATCATGTGAAAATCCTCTCCAAATTGTCATGAAAATATTTATTACTGTAGGTATTATTAGGTTCCATCTTTCTTTTACATTGATGTACTAACTATAGTGTTTGTTGGATTTATTTCTTTATATCTGCCAGGTTTGACTATGAAGGAGTGGACAGCAGGGCAGCGTATTACCTCATGAGAGATTTGGAGGCTGTTATCACTGATAAAGCTTTTACCACTCAGAAGTTTTCTGTGGGCAATAACATCTACAGTGTGGAGAAGGCTGATAATTTTGAGTACATCGACCCAGTGGACGGCAGTGTGTCAAGAAAACAGGTCAGTTCAACACCTTGAGATAACATGAGAGATGTCCTATCAAGTTATAGTGACACTAAACTTTGAGCTTTATTTACTCCCATTCATACACATGCACATGGGAGACGTCTTTATTTTGTTGGTTATTTAGCAAAATACTGTGTTGCTAAATAGGTTTACAGTGCATTCTCACTGAGAAAGACGTCTCATGCTCACCATTTATTTGATGCAAATACTGTACAGTAAAAACAGTAATGTTGTGGAATATTATTACAATGGAAAAATAATTGTTTTATATTTTAATATATTTTAAATGTAATTTATTCCTGATGAAGTCTTCAGTCTCACATGATCCTTCAGAAATCATTCTAAAATGCTGATTTGGTGCTCAAGAATTTTTTTTATTATTATTATCAATGTTGAAAACAGTTGTGCTTCTGAATATTTCGTGGAAACCGCAATAATTTTTACAGGTTTTTTTGATGGATGGAACGTTCAAAAGAACAACATTCATGTAAAATAGAAATCTTTGTAACTCTATAAATGTCTTTACTGTCCATTTTGATAATACAGTAAGTAATAAGTATTATAAAAAAAAAAAATTACCAACCCCAAACTTTTGAAACACACACACACATACACACGGACACACAGGACTCTCCATAGAAGTAATGTTTTTATACTATACAAACTTATATATTTACATATATATTATCCCCTTACATTGCCCCTACCCCTAAACCTACCCATCACAGGAAACATTCTGCATTTTTACATTTTCAAAAAAAAAAAAAAAAATCTGTATGATTTAAAAGAATGTTTACCCATGGGGACCTCAATTTAGGTTCCCACAGTGACACGAGTCCCCATGAGTATGTGTGCATTCAGGTTTAAGTCCCCACCGGGATAGAAAAACATGTACACACACATGCGCACAAGCACACACAAATCTATGGTTAAAATGTTGCAACTAAGTGAACTGACACATCACAATTTTCATAATGCACAGTATGAGAAATGGATGTTCATTTTGAGATTTACATTTAACAGTGTTATTAAATTTATTTTAAATGATTATTTGATAATAGCAAAGTTCATCTAAATGAAAAAATAAGATAAAATGTATTACAGTGATGAGATCCAAACTGCAAACATGATCGTGCTTTTAACTGACTGAACAAAAGTAAATGAATCTTTACAACATCTGTGTTTAATTAATTCGAAGTCATCCATAATAAAACCAAATGTGCGGATCGGTCCCATAGTGCGCCTTATTCATCTGAGATAATGGGGAAATGTCTGAGATTTTGCAGCTTAGTCGCTTGTATAAAGAGCTGCCAGGGGGTTGTTGAGCATTAAGGTTTTATGTTCAGCAATTATATGCTATTTAGTGCGGCACGCGCACCGACCACCCAATGAACGTGGGCTCAAGTGGGATTCCTTGTTTGGGCATCCACATTCACACTTAGCTGCTTATGTGTTTACGGTGTACGCGGCCTGGTTGAACAATACGTGCCGAGACTGTTCAAATTTTCATTCAGCTGCTCTCTCTTTCTCACTCCTTTTTTGGAGGATGTGCTAAAGCACACGGAGGCGCACACGTGCTTGATAGTAACAGGAGAAGGATGTTTCGAGAGATGCTTTATCTTTATCTGGCCTGGATTTGTTGTACTAAGATGCGGAGCCCTTGAGTGGTCTGTGTCACACACACGTGTACATACTTGCGTAGCCTTGTGTTTGAAGTTTACCCAGCTGACTCACACTGTTCTGACCTGGAATGTGTGGAAACCACCTTCTCCCTCTCCAAAGCAACCTCTCCAATCACAAAAAAAGGATGTAGTTACAGCATCTACTAGCAGGGATGCCAAACCTTGACCTCTTGACATTAGCATTCATAACTTTGCCTTTCGACACCTCATCCACTTCTCATCTCATTTATATCCTTGCAAATCTGCATATTAGAATGATTTCTGAATGATCATGTGACACTGAAGACTGGAGTAATGATGCTGAAATTTTTTTTAAATTGTTTAAATTTTAAATTTAAACTGGAAAATTTATTCCAGTTTTGCCATCACTGGAATAAATCACATTTTAAAATATATTCAGAGAATACAGTTATCCGAATAATGTGTCACAATATTACTGTATTTTTGATCAAATGTGAATTGAACACATCTGATCTAACCTCATGAATCACACTGGTTACATGGGGTCAGGGCCTGTCGTTCATTCAGTGGTCTCCCGTTGACCGAGGCGACACAGTCACTTCAGTCATCCGCCCGGCGTCTCTACAGTGAGTATTATTACAACAGAGTGTGTATTATTACAACAGACATTCCTCCCAGTGCCGGATTGTGTCAGCTGTCCCGGTCCTCTTCTCTCCTGGTCTGTGGGGGGCCACCGAAGAGAAACCCAGCTGTCGGAGACCATGACATACACAGATACACACACCAACATAGATATTACATCTATAACAGTGGTTTATCTATCTATCTATCTATCTATCTATCTATCTATCTATCTATCTATCTATCTATCTATCTATCTATCTATCTATCTATCTATCTATCTATCTATCTATCTATCTATCTATCTATCTATCTATCTATCTATCTATCTATCTATCTATCTATCTATCTCTATATCTATCTATCTATCTATCTATCTATCTATCTATCTATCTATCTATCTATCTATCTATCTATCTATCTATCTATCTATCTATCTATCTATCTATCTATCTATCTATCTATCTATCTATCTATCTATCTATCTATCTATCTATCTATCTATCTATCTATCTATCTACCTATCTACCTATCTATCTATCTATCTATCTATCTATCTATCTATCTATCTATCTATCTATCTATCTATCTATCTATCTATCTATCTATCTATCTATCTATCTATCTATCTATCTATCTATCTATCTATCTATCTATCTATCTATCTATCTATCTGTCTGTCTGTCTGTCTGTCTGTCTGTCTGTCTGTCTGTCTGTCTGTCTGTCTGTCTGTCTGTCTGTCTGTCTGTCTGTCTGCCTTTTTTAGGCTGATTGCATATCTGTCGCATCTTTCTAATTTAGTTCCTTACTGCTTTCAAATGGCAGATTATTTTCAGTAAAATAGTGTTTTTACTTTTCACCTAATAAGAACTAAACTTTTCATTTACTCTTCATCTCACTTGCTGTCTCTGTGTAGTTACTGTTCATTTTTATTTTATGTTTTAGTTACAGTATTGTTACATGTCACTCCTCCACTGCTGAGTAGTTGTCCAATTGGATCTGGCTCGGAAAAAAATAGTTTTCCCTGTCATCTAGTGGACATTATTATGAACTACAAGTGTTGCTGTTTGGGGAATCCAAATAGTAGAGCTTATACTTTCATAGAATTACATTGAGCTGCCGAGAAATGTGAATGTTTCATGTTGAATGTTTGACATTATCACATACAGTTTTGTGTGTGCTTCACAATGCTTTTCGAAATGGCATTGTGGTATAGTGTAATTGTCAGTGTTGGGTAAGTCACTCTAAAAAAGTAATGAATTACTAGTTATTAATGACATCTTCAACAGTGTAATTAGATTACTGTTCTAACTACTCTCTCAAATTTACTGCATTACTTATTACTAATATACTACTTTCTATACAGTATTTAATGCAGTTACGTACATCAGAAGACAAAATTACTGTAAGAGTAATACCTTTACTTTTCAAGGGAAAAGTACTTAAATTACAGTAATGAATCACTTAATAATGCCTTACAGCCGGCACTACCAGTTAATCATTCTGGCTGGTAACTGAAGGTTGTAGGTACTTTATGATTAATCAGCACTAAAATGAGCTGCATTTCTATATCTGCACTTGTCCTGCAGGGCCTAAGGATCATCTTCACAGACTCGTCCCGAATCATCTTCCGGCTCAGTGGTTCTGGGGCCGGAACAGGGGCCACCATCCGCATCTACGCTGAAAGCTACGAGAGAGACCCAGAGAGACACAGCAGAGAGACCCAGGTGAATGAATTTATTATTCCTAATTTATTATCATCGTTTGACCAGAGGCAGAGCAGAGTTGGCTGTCAGAAAGGAGGGTTTAGAGAGATCGAATCCATATATGGAACGGTTAAGTAAAGAGAACAGTTTGGCCCGACAGAGGAAAAGGGGCTTATTATCGAACTGTTTCAGACACTGTGAGAAAAGATGTGATGCTACTATGTTTTTTAGGAGAATATTAATTTTTTTTTTTTTTTTTTTTTTTTTTACATTGAATGCACATACACCTGTAGTTTACCTACCAAACAAAATTAGGAACCTTTAAAATAGCAAAATAGGGCACTTTAAAGAAACATTTCTGTAAAAAAATATTTTCATGATTTGCAATCACAACATTTTTCTTTTGTCAAATCAACTTAGATCATGTAGTTCAGATAACATAATATTTTGAGTTTCTGGTGATTAAATGAATCTCCGTCATTGTATTAACTCAATTTTTCCATTTCAATGAAAATTTTAAGGGCACCAGGTTACTTATTTTTTTTTAAGTTAAACCAACAATATTTTTTACAGTGTAGTTCAGTCGACAGCATTTTTGGCATAAAATGATTTTGACTAATCCCTTGTTTTCTTAAAGCAGAAATCAAGGTTACACTGTAAAAAAATATTTTCAAGATTTGTTATCACAACATATTTTCTTTTGTCAAATCAACTTTATAATAATTTATTTAGTTGAGATAACTTATTATTTTGAGTTTCTGATGATTAAATCAATCTCCTTCATTGTATTAACTCACCTTTTTCCAGTTCAATCAACTTAATATTTTAAGGCAACCCAGGTTACTTACTTTTTTAAGTTAAACCAACAATAGTTTTACAGTGTAGTAATCACAACATTTTTTCTTTTGTCAAATCAACTTAAATAATTTATTTAGTTCAGATAACATTTAATTTTGAGTTTCTGATGATTAAATCATTCTCCTTCATTGTATTAACTCACTTTTTCCAGTTCAATGAACTTAAAATTTTAAGGCAACCAGGTTACTTACTTTTTTAAGTTAAAAACCAACAATATTTTTTTACAGTGCACAGTAATGCACTTACAAAGGCAAAATTGTGTATGTTTTAAAAGAATAAACGTGAAGCTTATACTTTTATAAAAGTACTTACGTATTATTCTGTTAAAACTTGTGTATTGTTTGAGTTGTACAGTAGTTTTAGGGTTTGAGGTGTTATGTTGTCATTGTAAAAAAATATTTTCAACATTTTTTCTTTTGTCAAATCAACTTAAATAATTTATTTAGTTGAGATAACTTATTATTTTGAGTTTCTGATGATTAAACTAATCTCCTTGCATTAACTCTCTTTTTTCCAGTTCAATCAACTTAAATTTTTAAGGCAACCAGGTTACTTAAAAAAACAACATTTTTTTCACAGTGAAGTTGTAAAATTGATTGTAACTTTACAGAGAATAAGTTTTTAAGTACCTCTTTCAAACTAAAATCATGTTAACATGCATAATGTTCAAGTCATCTGGCTGCTCTATTGAAACAGTGTATGTTCATTTAAGGTCACTCTGCCATTTTTTGCTTTTATTAAGAAAAAAATAGTATTTTTGTCATTACTTACTCACCCTCAAGTTGTTCCACACCTGTATGAGTTTCTTTCTTCTGTTGAACACAAAAGAAGATATTTTAAAGAATGCTGGTAACCAGAAAATGTAAGGCACCCATTGACTTTAGGAAATAAATACTATGGAAGTCAATGGGGCCCATCAATTGTTTGGTTACCAAAACATCTTCTTTTGTGTTCAGCAAAAGAAAGAAACTCATACAGGTCTGGAACAACTTGAGGGTGAGTAAATGATGACAATTTTCATTTGGGTGAACTATCCCTTTACAACGCTGGCAGTCTGTTAACAAGCCCTTCCTTTGACCGTTGTAGGTTGTGCTGGGTCCTCTCATTGCCATTGCTCTAAAAATCTCCAACATCCACGAACGAACTGGAAGCAGAGGCCCCAGTGTGATCACCTGAGACCAATCCAGCAGCACACACACACACACACACACCAGGGGCCAAATTCACTTTCTTCACTCACGTCTGATCCGTCTTCTTTTGTGCCTTTTACCCTAAACACAACAATGAATGTGCCAACTCTTCATTTTGCTGCTCTTTTACCATTTCTCACCTTTTCCTTTCTCCTCTCTCAATTGTCTTTACAAGGGCCCCTGTGAGGTTTTCTCTTCTTTTGCACATTTAAACTCATGTTAACCACTACAAAAAAAAAGGGGGGGAGCAAAGCATTTTCTTCATGCTCACGCAGACTCCTTGACTGTTTTTAATTCAACAAGAATGAGGTTAGAAACAGAACATATATAGACTACTTTGTGTTTTGAATCAGCTGCATGGGGTCTAAAACTTAAAACCTGTTTGCCTGTATGCTTTTGTTTACAATGTAGCTGTTACAAAGAAAAGTAGGTCTATTCAATGCAATCAATGAAACGAGGGAGCAACGCTGTTCGGTATTTACTTATTTCTGTGGAAACACAACAATATAAACTGTGCAACAGTTAGAGCTGGGGCCTCATTTATAAAATGTTACATTTGATCAAGTTCATTTCTGAAATGTGAGTATAAGTGTGATTCAGAGAACGTGCGTACGCTTATCTTCCACGTGTGAAATCAAGAAAAATCTAGAAAACGCTCCCTAATTAATGTTATTCGCAACAGTCACCGTCCAAATCCTTTACTTGAGAATGGTCAACTGCAAGAATTGCTTGGATTTCCAAATACCACAAGATCATTTTTATAAATCTGAACATTGCAGTGGATTTTAGCACGTTTTTATAAATGAGGCCCCTGATGTCCAACAATGAACCACTAAAATAATTATCATAAAGATTGTCTTGAAGAATGGTTGTGCTATAATTTTACGTTCAATCTTGTAATCGCTAACACTTTGATTTACAATTTTCTGACCACTTTCTGAAATGTCCACCAGATTAAATTTGTGGCGTGAATCAAAGTATGAAATGTTTTAAAGGAATGTTTGGCTATGAATTGGTCTGCTCAAATTAGTTATTTTGTTGAGCTTTCAATTTTTAAAATCCTGCATGAATCAGTTGTTTGTGTCTAGTGTCAGATGGATTATGTGCATTCCATTGTGTGATGAGAAACATGCCTCTTAGTTTATTATTATTATTGTATAACATAACATTTAAAATATTTTTTTTGAGCCAGAACATTAATCAGTGTTTAAGATATTTGTGAGGATTTAAAAAAAAATCTGTTGATCCTAAAAGTGCAAGTCCCTTAAAATTCTTTACAAATGACTCCAAGGTGAAAACAAATGCTCCCTTTTAAATGCTATTTTGATGGAGGATAGAAAAAAGTAAATGTCATTAGCTGTAATTAATTTTGTATCCTAAAATGTGCATAAATAAACATTATTTTTTGTGTGTCATGGCTTCTTGTTATTGTCATTCAATCAGTGAGGTCAAAAACTCACATGTTCTTGCTGTCCATCTTCTATCTTATTCATTTCACTTCAGAATATTTAGTTAAGTATAACAATTAATATGAATAGTTAGATTTACCAAATTTAATTATACTGGCTAAAACAACTTTAAACAAATTTGTCTCTAAATGCACAAATGTGTATTTCCTGTTCTTCTTTATTTAAATATATAAAGAAATACTAGGCCTATATACATTGCCAGTCAAAAGTTTTTATTATTATTATTATTAAAAATGCTTGTAAAAACATTTTAATAAGAAGGTTTGAAGGTTTTATTTTCTTGAGTGTAGGACAAGCAATTTTAAGAATGGATGGATTATTTTAAAAAAAATTAAATAAGAAAAAAATATTTTAAATCAAGTGAGATTTATGCTTAAGACAATTATAATTCTCATATTTTACCAACAAACCAGAAAAAATAAATAACCCTGAACTGTGCCTGTGACCATAACAGTATACTGTCTGCAAACGTTCTTGCTGTTTTAAAGGTATTATCTGATCATGGGTTTCCTGCTTATAATGGTATAATACAAATAATTAAATAACATTAGCATGCTCAATAAGAGCTTAGGCATATGCGTCTGGTTTATGTTTTGTTAATCTTTAGAGAAAAAAATCTATTTCTAAATCATAGTGTCAATGTTTTAATTAATTCATCACCCTTAAGATGTTAACAGGATAAATAGACAAACCGTTACTAGGGAGAAAGTCTTAGAGGATTCAGATGTGAGAAACTTCAGCCTATTTCCATCTAATAAAACCCTGACAGTCACACAATATAACTTCTTTTAAAAGGCGAGATGCGGAAATGGGACCAAGACGAAGGAAACTTGTTTAGCCTTTGCTACAATAAAAACGATCAAAAGTTTCAACTGCAGTTCCACACAAAAACGCAAGATGGAGACAAGTTCACATGACAGCATGCATGACATCCATCCACTAGAAAATGTCACAGCAGTTTACTATCACACTGTCAGGTGTATTTAGAATAAAACATTTCACAGAAGAGACTCTTTAAAAAAATATATGATAATGTTAGGTGTCTAATATCTGGTATACAACTACAACGATCATATGCGATAAATCCAACACGATATTGAATGTTTCTGTAAATTCTTTTAGGTGGTTGCAGCCATGTAACGAAGTAGGCTAAGTGGGAAAACAGCTTTGTCTTTGTCGCTGAATAAACGAATCTGTGTCTTTAAACTGAGATTGTCTGTGCAGTCAGTATTAATCATGTACTCGTCTAGTCCCACCTCTTCCTGCAGCAGCAATGAGAGAGAGAGAGAGAGAGAGAGAGAGAGAGAGAGAGAGAGAGAGAGAGAGAGAGAGCGAGAGAGAGAGAGAGAGAGAGAGAGAGAGAGAGAGAGAGAGCGAGCGCAGATACAGTCATAATGTAGTGACGGACAGCAGCGATGCCAGCGGTAACCCTGCAAGAGTAGGCTACAGCGCATCTTTGACAAATATCGACGTTTGAGATATAACAACACAATTTTCCGGTAACTTCTTTGGATACATCAACGAAGCAGCTAATATGACTGAGAAGTGAATTTTGTACGCGAAAATGTTAATAAAGGATTTTCAGTCATCGTTTGCCATACGGAATGAAACGCGGATGTCAATAGAGGTTTGAAGTGCACATGGATGTTGCGACTCTACTTGTTGTGTTTGTGGAGAAAATTGTGCGTCTGTCCAAGATCAGCTGAGTAAGTGTTTATCAGATGTTGAGATTATGCTATGCATGTACACGACAAGTTATAATTCAGCTGTAGGATATGAAGTTATAAATCAACATGGGCATGGCTTTGGGTGTAGCCTATTCTTCCAAACAAGTGGATTTTAATGTGTAATTTTTCCCCACTAAAAAAGTAAACCAGCAGTAAGCAATCATGGTAGAACCTGTTGGCTTTGTGGAAGCGTGGAAAGCTCAATTTCCTGACTCAGATCCTCCTGAGATGTCTTTGAACTCTGTTGGAGACATTGAGCAGGAGTTGGAGAAATGCCGAAACTCTATTAGGCGACTGGAGATGGAAGTGAACAAGGAGCGCTTTCGAATGATCTACCTGCAAACACTTCTGGCCAAAGAGCGAAGAAGCCATGACTCTCAGCGTTGGGGTTTCACAAGGGTCTCGCAAGGTGAGCGTAAGCCGGCATCCACGGACGTCCATCCTCAGAAAGCTGATGAGAGCAGGTGTCTCCCAGCCAAACTGAAGCACTCGACCGCAGCAGAGGAGAGTCGTGAGTCTCAGCCGTGTGTTGAGGTGGGGGGATGTGATATCTCAGACCTGGACAGGCAGAAAAACCGAGATGGTGAGACTGACTGGATGTCTCCATACAAAAAAAGAAGTGTTGAAGCTCCACTCAGACCCATTGCTGGATGTGGACCTGCACATCATGAGGCGGATGGTGTTCCAGAGTCTCCACTGAAGGAAAAAGCCACCACAGGGTTGGGAGTCGCTGCACTTCGGTCAAACTTTGAACGCATCAGGCGAGCCAATTCCCAAACATCTAGCGAGGGGAAAAGCGAGAGGCCTTACTACGTCAATATGGAGTACCACCAAGAAAAGGGGCTTGTTCGGGTCAACGATAGAGAAGTCTCTGAGAAGATAAGTAGTATGGGCAGTCAAGCTATGCAGATGGAGCGCAAGAGGTCTTTGCATTCTGTCCCGGGTAATCTGTCCACTGCTTTCGGGGATGTCCATAAGCCAGAGCGGTCACATGAAAGAGCAACAGAGAGTGGGTGCTGTGAGTATGATGAGCCTGACCTGAACACTGGGTTCCTCAAGGACAATTTAATTAGACTTAATGGAAGAAGAGCAACTCAGCAGAATTGGCACCAGTCGGACTGTCAGCCTTATACGACCGTTTATGTGGGGGGCATTATGGGAGATGGAGAGGAACTGCACTTGACGTGGCCCAGGCGGTCTTACTCACCTGGGAGTTTTGAGGATGGATACACGCCAGATTGCAGCTCCAATGAAAACCTGACATCCAGCGAAGAAGACTTCTCCTCAGGGCAATCCAGCCACGTGTCCCCGAGCCCCACCGCCTACCGAATGTACCGAGAGAAGAGTCGCTCTCCATCCCAGCACTCCCAGCAGTCGTTTGAGAGCGGCAGCCCTCCTACCCCACAGTCCCAAAAGCGTCTCAAGCAACAGCTAGCACTCTCCGAGGCTAATGTTATTGGTGTCCGCAAGAACTGGCCCACTGACGGAAGCTCAAACAACTTCAGCAACAGTTTCCATGGAGATTTAGGTAAGACAACATTCTTGCAGTGTTTACTTTTGTATGTCCTGTTTGGTGGGCCTTTCATAGGATTTCACTTTCCCACAGTGGGAACATATTAAGAAGGCAAGGCCCCAAGGTCCATTATCAGGACATTTTAATGCTTGATATTGGTCTTTCAAGAGGTCATTCCTCCCTGTTGTGCAACCCTTCTCACATGTATCTGATTTTGTCGTCATGTGTTGAGTATTACAGGGGTTTCAAACTTTTTGATGCCAGTTATGATGACCCCCTTGTGAAGCATTCCCTTCCATAAAAAATGAATGGCATAGACCTACACATTTTCATTCATAATGGCCTATTATATTGTTTGGTGAAATCTATTGTTTCCAAAATGTAAGATTTGATTTGATTTTTTTTTTCTGGTAAATTTACAATGAAAGAACCAAAAAAAATGTGTTTACGCATCACTCATTTGGCTTTTATGTTGTCACTGTATTAAATCTAAAGCAAATTATTAAGATATTATTTAGAAAATGTGTATATTTAGCTTTAATTGGATGCGTATTTGAAAATATTTTACATAATACAATTTAAAAAAAAAATAAGGGCAGTCAGTAGAATGAAATTATGATTATTGTTTAGGTTTTGGTCAGTCTGTAGAAAACAGAATGAAACCGTATCATCAGATTTGGTAAATGTGTTATAAACTTTAGATTTTTAACATTTATTACATATAAAATATTTAGTTAATATTTTAAGTTAAGAAACGAGGACCTAAAAATGCTCTTTATTTGAACCCCCCTGGACTTTTAGGCAGATAACGAGACAAATCCATGTTGTGTTTGTCGTTTTTTAACAACAGTACCAAACCCTCTACTATATTTGTTCTTTGTGTTAGCTCTCCATGTGGTTTCTTCCTTTACTTATCTCGCTGTCATGATACGACTGGTCTGATCTGCAGTTTGAGGCCAAGAATGGCCTGAGGCAGTGCAGTCACTCGCTCTCTGTCCACCCAGAGTGTTTATGCATCAGTTCACATTAATGTTGTTGTCCTGCCGAGGGCTAATTAACCTAAAGGGGTCGTCTACTATGGTGAGTTTAGCAAGGCTTTTTGTTGGGGGAGGGGTGAAAGACAAGAAACAAATAAAAAAAAAAGGACTGAAGATACAGAATGTCAATTGAGCAGACATCTGTGGTTTTATTGGTTTGAATGGAAACACCCAAGTAATGGTTCTTCATTTTGAATGAGCTGTAATGCATTTGAATGGTCAATTCACCTATGCTAATGGCATGTAGATTTACGTTAGCTAATATTCAGTCTTGTTTTCCTCATGAATTGAGAGTCACTGCAATGCAAAGAAGAGGTTATTTGAAGAAAAGTGTCAGTGGGAAGCAATCTTGCATTTAGAAATGGTTTTGCTTTTAATTAGTTTATTTTCACATGCATTTTTGCATGTGCAAGAACTGCTGTAGTAGCAAACATGAACACTCATGTTCTGTTCAGATTGCATTTGAGGGTCCCATGGACCCCAGTGATATAACACTGAAAAAAAATTATATGATTAATAAGTTGACAACATGTTTTTACATTGCTTTAGCAGCTAAAGTTTAGCTCATCAAACTAAGTTTTCCAATTTTAAGTTAGATTCAACTCATTTTTTTAAGTCTGTTTAATGTCGTTTAAGTTGAAATGACTTAAACATCCAATTGATTGT